TGTCAGGGCTGTGCTGTGCAGTGGGGAAGAGTGAAAATTGTCACAAGGAGTCCTAACCTCACTGCAAGGATTGTTTCAGGAGGGTCTTGCTCCTCTTCGCCCAACTCTTCATTTCTGATTGTAAGCAAGAGATTCAAATCCACTCAAGTTATGTCCTCATATAATCTAGGAGCAGTTCAGGTTCATTGCATGCCAACAGATAGAGGAGAGAAGCAGTTCGTCTCGGCTGTGGAGGCCTTTCAGGTGTGTGCTGCAGCAAGGAATGAACTCTTACCTGGTTCTTTGCAGCCTGCTCATGCAGTCGCAGCTCCCTGCTCGAACCCAGTGTCATTTATCAATTTACTCTGCATGACTGGGGCCTCTCTGATAGCAAATACATTGGAGTCTCTTGAGTAATGTCACCCTTCCCTTCCTCAGAGGCGGTGAAGTGTCTCCCCAATGGAAAAGCTGCTCCAAAGGCCCAGTTGGTCTGTGCCAAGACGGGAGGCGTGGAGACCTGCTCGCTGTCCTGCCCCTCCAAGGCCCTGTTCGTCGCAGGTCAGTGTCTGCTGTTCTGGAGCATCTCAGCGGATGGCCAGACCGGTCTCGGGCTGGCTGGCAGATGCTGACTTTCTGCCTTGCTGCTTTTTTACTGTGAACATTCGTTTTCAGAAGAAAGGACACCTGGAGGAATATGTGGGGATACAGGGATATAAATATATCCCTGTAAATTCAAAACATCAGCAGTCAGTAGTGTAGTAGGTTTCTGTTGAGCAGCGATGACAGATCTTGGCACGGAAGCCGTCTCTCACTGTGGAACTTGACGCCTTTCCCGTGAACAGAGCTCCTTTCCCTGTTCTTTGTCTCCCCCTCGTGGTAAAAGACGCTCAGCACAATATAATACTGCCAGCTCAGCAGAACAGTCCAAGAGCTTTCAGGAATCTTCGGTGGTAGAAAGACTCATTTTCATTTTAGTTAGTTTAGAAAGAATAAAGTACAGGTACAGACTTTAGAGGCAGGACAGGATGTCATACTTATTCTGTTGAAGTGACCTTGTACAATCATGACGACTTCTGTGAAAGGAGATGTTTTTTACACATTTGAAGAATAGGTTAATTCCTAATTTATCTAAAAGGTGTCTTTGTTTCAGATATGTTTGAATTATTGGTGGTGTCTTTAATTTATGTGTGAAGTGCTTTTAAGTTTCACCTGAAGGTAGTCTCCCTCAGAGAGCTGAAAGAGAGGGCAGAGGAGTGGACATGCAGGGGCTCCGTGCGACAGCTGTGCTCTCTGGAGCCCCGGTGGTGGACTCTAGCTCCGCAGTACTCAAGCCTGATGGAAGTGTTTGCTTTCTCATGGGCACTGGAAGAACGCTGGCCTACCAAGCGCTTACGTCTCTGCTCCTCCACCAGTGTCTCTTTCCCCGCCTCGTCTGCTGACCTTTATTTCCTTTATTTCCTCCAGATTCCGAAAACAGCTACACTTTCAGCTGTGGAGTTCCGACGCAGTCCGGCAAGACCCCGCAGAAGCGCAATACCACAGCCCCCACGCCGAGCTGCGCAGGTACGGAGAGACGAGAGCTCCCGCCGCAGTGCAGAACTAGGCTTGAAATAGCGGCGTGAGCCGCAATTAGCTCTGAGGTGTGTCTCGCCAAACGAGGGCTCAGTCTCGTCCGGCCACTTACATACTCTACATATTTACATGCTTGAACACTTTCACCTCGCCCAGTTTTAACATTTGGTTTTGAAAAGTGTTCACATTATGATCACGTGATTATTGGCTTGCTCACTGTTGTAGTGGGGTACAGGAGCAGGTGTGTGCTTGGTAACTGTGTGTGTTCCTCAGCACTGAGAGAGCTTCATCTTACCATGATATTCCCCCTTGGGGAGTGGGTGTACTCAGAAAAGGTCACAGTAATTTCATGGGGACATCTGACTGTTAATAAACCATGAGAAAAGGCATCTTTGTTTCTTCGGAGTATAATGTCGACACAGCGGACAGAAGATTTCAGATTTGAGCCTATTCAAAATGCAGCATTTGCTCTGTCCAGTACTACTCTGAAGAGGAGCACGCGTTGTACTTTTCATTGAGGACGTGTGCACCTGTGGTCCTGCTGTCAACTTTCACGTGAAGAACAGAACAGCAGTCTCTCCCCGGCAGTGTCTTTGTGATCGATGCCGGGCACCGGAAATCCTGCTCTTTCTGTTTCAGGCGATGGACTGTCTGCGTTGTTCTTTGAGTGCTTCGTGTGCAGTAACACTGCGCAAGTGGGAGTAGCGCTGGTCAAAGTCAAGGCCCTGTCTGAGGGGGGCGGAGGCACTGGTGTGAGGTCAGCAAAAACCAAAAAACAAAAACAAAGGAAAGAGAAAAATGCACCTCTTGAAACAGCAGTTTCCAGACTGCGCTGTCCCTATTTAGCGGGATCCGGACTGGTGGAAAAGGAGAGCGTGCGGCCAAAACCAGAAGAGGCTCAACCTGCCCCCATGGAGATACGCGGTGGGACAGGAGAAAAGAAAAAGAAAATTAAAAGAAGAAAAAGACATGGCCTTAATGCTCTCTCCGCAACCCCCTCCGGGACTGTTGCTGAAAGGTTGTCCCCTTGCGGGGGTCTGCTTGTCCCTCCGGGGAGGGGCTCAGTGTGTCTTAAAGGGGCCCCCTCAGCTGCGGCTCGTCCTTAATCAGCCAGGCCATCTGTGGTTGCTAGGACAAGGACGCATCGCCCTTAACCCAGGTTTCCGCCCCCACACTGAACACGCCCCACCTTAATGCCACAGTACCTCCTCAGAGTGGTCAGCAGACGCCATCACTTCTGCCTTCGACATCAGAACGTGTTCTTCTTTACTGCTCACTAGAGCTAGAATCACTGCCGATCTAAACAGAATCAGAGGGAGTAACCATGCGCAGCTGGATGAAGACGGTGGTGAATATTACTCCTCATATCGAGAAGGTCAGCGTTGCCTGTCAGAATCTTGCTGGAAATGACAGGACACTTAAGTGCCTTCAAAGGCAAGACCAAAACATTACTGCTTTACAGTCAGGTCATGTGAGTTATGAATGATAAGTACAATGTTATATCCATGTTATTTTGGGGTCATTCCGTGCATACAAATTGAGTGTGAAAAATCATTCCAAAAGAGTTCACCATACTCTTTGTATAGTCATTTGAGATGCTTTTCATTAGCTGCTTGGAGATTCTGCCTGTTCTTGGGCTGTTCTGACTTTACCAGGCTGGTCAACAGCCTCCTCTTGTTTGTAACTGTTCTTATGACCTCAGTGTTTTCTTCGGCAATTGGATTAGAAGCTGCAAATTGACTAGGCCACTCTCAGATCTGCTGATGAGCTCCTTGGCTGTATGTTTGTATTGTCGCTGTGTGTTTTGGGTTACTGTACTGCTGCATGATGAAGTGCTGCTCCATAAGTACAGAAGGATACTGCTGCCCTTATCAGTGACATCATCACTACCGGCCCGACCCAGGCCATGACCTCCTCCAGGCTTCACAGATGAGCTGGCATCTTCAGAGCATCTGCAGGTCCTTTCTTTCTCCTCACTTTAATCTTTCACTTGCTTTGGAAAAAGGTTTATCGTGGTCACATCTGTCCATAAAACTTTGTTACAAATGTCTCCTGTCTCCTGTCTCCTTCGTACTTCTGAGCCAAACCTGACGCCAGGTGGAGGGACTGGCCATGGCCTGGGCATGCGTGACTGTCTCTGCCACTTGAGCGGTTTTGACTGGACTGTCCCAGTGTTTTGGAGGCTGGTGGCTGTGCTGGACCTGACTGAGGACCAGCCCACCAGCTCAGCAGGCAGTGCTGGCGACTTGACCACTTCGAGCTCGGGCTGACCTCCAGGGATATCAAATTCTTGCACTTGGCTTTTTCAAGAAGCCAAATTCAAATTCAAGTCAGCACATTGTGTTTGTGTGGCTCAGGTGCAATGTGCCCGAGCACTGAGTACCCAAGTCACAACAGGACTGAGAAACGCATGACCTCAGTGTCTCACTTAGATGGAACTGGCTGGAAACAGATACTAAGTTAATCCTTCAAGTTTATCATTCAGTTATTTTTAATAGCCAAACCTAAACATAACTTTTTTAAAGGCCCCCTCCCGCTTTAGTGTGTATTGCACACAGGTCATGACTGCTTTTCCCTTTTTTTCACGTAACCCCTTAAAGTGTCACAGGCTTAGTTCCATAATGAGCACATGAGAACTTTTCATCTGGCAGCTCTAACAGACCCAGCCTGGGGACCCCTCCCGCTCTCTGGCCAATTACTGTAAGCAGGCTCGTTCACTCCCCGCCCACGGCCAGAGTTTAAAAACGGTTTGCGTTTCGCAGTGCAAATATGTAGCTGTGTGCAAAGACAAACGGCAATGAAAGGAGCCAAGCACAGAGGGATGTCAAACTGTGTGCTGCGTGCGTGTCAATAGGTGGATACAGCCGTCCAGCCCCGAGCTGTCGCTCCAGGCCTGCACTGCAGGCTCTCTTCTAGTTGGTCGTCTGTAAGCAGTTCTGACAGCTGGAATTAGTGGTTTCTGAGCTCCTACATGTGCTGTACGTTTCTGTTTGAGATGAGGAAGCAGCTGGCTATCGAGGCTCTGCTCCATCACTCACCAGCCCGCTGCTGGACGATATTTATGTTGCTGGGTGTCATCTGCTTGTCTTGTAAGGATGGACAAAAGAAGTGTTCCAAAACCCTGGGGCTTGGAATATTTAGGTTCAGATACTGTATGTGAAATGACTTTGTGCACATTAAAGAACTTTGTATTCCTTTCCAGCATCGAGGGTCTTTTAAAAGTAATAAAGTGTCTTTACTATACAGTACATTTCAACAATGATTCAAAAATGAACAAGTGATTTTGGAAACATTGACCGTCTGTAGCAGTTACAGCTCTGAGCCTTCTTAGGTGTGTCTGTATCAGCTTTGCACATCTGGATTTGTGGCTTTTCACTCTCATTCATCCCTGCAGATTTGCTCAAGCTCTGTCAAACTAGATAGCAAAGCATTTGACTGAGCCACTCAAGGACATTCATCTTCCTGTTCTGGAGCCACTCGCATTGCTGTGGCCGTGTACTCATTGTGATCGTCATGTCCTGTTGGAATGAAGAGCTTTGCCCCATTAAGGTCTTCTGCTGACTGTGCAGCCCCAGAAGATGATGCTGGCTCCATGGATCATGGTATGGATGGTGTTAGAGAGTGATGAGCTGTGTTCGGTTTGCAGCAAGCACAGTGCTTTGCATTCGTGCAAGAGTTCCATTTTTTTTTTCATCAGAGGAGGGAACCTCTGTCAGATGCTGGTATGTCTTTTCTCTGGAGTGACCTCTGTCCAGACAGCTGAATCTGTGTAGTTCTTCATAGGTTGTTGTCCTCTGGACAGATTCTCCCACCTCATCCATGGAGCTCTGTACATCTGTCAGGGTGGCCATTGGGCTCCTGGTCATTTCTCTGACCAAAGTCCTTTTTGCTTGGTTGCAGTGCTCTAGGAAGAGTCTGGGTGGTTCCATTTTCTTTCCGTTTCCTCATGATGAATCTGACTGTGCTCCTGGAAACTTTCAACATCATGGACACATTTCTAAACTCCTCCCCAGATCTGTGCCTCCTCACAATTCTATCTCAGAGGTGCTCCTTTGTTTTTATGGTAGAGTTTCTGCTCTGACATGCACTTTCAGCCATCCTGCGCCAGCAGTCCCAGCAGGTGTTGGTCACTATTGTATTTATCAGCATGAAGAATTGAGAATTGTATCGAATGCATCTTAAATTATTCCCTTCTCTTTTTTTTCAGATATCTTAGCTCCACCGATTAAGCAAAAAGCCCGCTTTAAGATTAAGGATGCAAAGTGTCACCTGAAGCCGCGCAACAAGGAGAAGTTCAGAGACGCAGCGAAGCAGAGCATGCAAGGTAGCTATGACACGCGTCACTCAGACGAGATGAGATGTCAGGCGCGAGTCACATTTGAGAGATCTGGGAAAGATCTGGGGGAACTCATTGTACAGATGACACTGTGTCTGTTTTTGAATGTGTTCTCCCTCAAATAAACAAATACACACTTAAAATGTCACTTTTGAAAGTCAAATGGGTTTTTGCAAGCTATATCAATTCAATTGAAAATACTTTATTTATCACCAGGGGGGCAATTTAAGATTGTTTTTTATCCCAATTCATCCCTTGTCTGGATCTTCCGGGCATTTGCTATGGGCCACCCAGTACCAGATAGGACAGACATTACCAGCCAGATCTGATGCAAGTAATCACCAACAATCTACATAATCTTTTAAGTCCTAAATAATTGGGATTTACACACTAGTTATTTCTGCCAACCACTGAGAAACTGCAGGGTTTACCATCTGGTTGAATGGTGAATAAACTAAATAGTATCATTTCAGGGATAAAAGGTAATGTTGATTCCTTTTAGTAGCAAGTTCTCATCAGATGTTAGCTTTTTCCCTCCAGGCAGCTGGTCAGAAGGATCTTGCAAGCTCATTTTCACCATCTCACGATGCTGCTGTATTTCCCCTGAAGGCAGCCAGCTGCCCTGTGCGGACGACTGCCAGGTCACCTTCGTCAACCTGAAGTGTGACTCATCCAGGAAGAGGCGTCGGGGTCGGAAGTCTCCTTCTAAAGAAGTGTCTCACATCACCGCTGAGTTCGAAGTGGAGATGAAGGAGGAAGAGGTGTCAGGTCAGTAGATGACGGGAGTCGTGGCCTGGCTAAAGGGTGTGGAGTCCGACTGTGGCAGGGCTCGGGGTTTGAGAGGAGGGCTTCAGTCGTGTGCCATTGCACTCCAGAATGGAACATCATGGCTCCTCATCACAGGGTCAGATTCCTAATCCTACTCTTAACAAGAACCAAGGCTCATCTGTTTTGTCCTGCGACAAAAATTCGACATGCTTGGTAAGGTACAAAACGTTTGGAGATTTGGAAAAGCAAAAAGACGCGATTACGGACTGAACTATTTGCTGAGGGCTGCCCGTGGGCCGCGGTTCGCTAACCCTGAGACTCTTTATGAGCAGACTCTTGTAACGTGGACTGCGCCCGCAAGAAAATGGAACACAAACTGCAGGCAGCGATGAAGACCCTGAGGAAGTCCATCAGCAAGCAGCAGTTCTACCTCCAGTTCTCCGGAACAGAGTACGAAGTCGCCCAGAAGCCTGCCAAGCTGCCAGACAGCCAGGATTCCTGCAGCACAGGCCAGGTTCCCCGAGAAGGGAAGTGTGGTGGGTAATAGATAAGAAGACACACTGAAAAGTGTGCTTTTGTTGTGCTTTGTTCCAAACCAGCGAACCTGGGGGTTTATGTGCTAATAAACAGGATAGAATCTGTCTCACAGCCTTTATTGAAACAAAGCAGCCAAATTTCGCCATCCTCCCCCCTGCCCTGCTGGCATCACCCAGCCGCTTCAAGGGCTGTAAATCCAGTACAGAGCCTCAGTGACCCGGAGCCTCACCCAGTAGCTGGGCTGGGAGTCGTGGCCTGGCTAAAGGGCCTGAATCCTTGAATCTGAAACAAAGGCAACTCCACAACACCTTTATACTGGAGTGTTTTAGGTCTGATCAAATAAAAATAATTGCTTACACTTATATAGCGCTTTTCTGGACACTCCACTCAAAGCTCTTTACAGGTAAAGGGGATATCCTCCACCCCCACCAGTGTGCAGCCCCACCTGGATGATGCGACGGCAGCCATAGTGCACCAGTCCACTCCCCACACACCAGCTCTCAGTGGGGAGGAGAGCAAAGTGCACCAGTACACTCCCCACACACCAGCTCTCAGTGGGGAGGAGAGCAGAGTGATGAAGCCAGTTCATAGATGGGGATTATTAGGAGGCCATGACTGGGAAAGTCCAGGGGGAAATTTGATCAGGACACTGGGGTAACACCCCTACACTTTTCGAGAAACACCCTGGGATTTTGACCACAGAAAATCAGGACCTTGGTTTTACATCTCTTCCAAAGGATGACGCCTTTTTACAGTATAGTGTCTCAGAAACCAGACCGCAGGGTGAGCACCCCCTTCTGGCCTCTCTAAAAACCGTAGTTCAGGTACTGGCCAGGCTCACACCTGCTGAAGCTGTGAGCTGCAGGGTGAAACGGCTGCTATAATAAAAAGAAATGCGCTGAAAGACCGTCTTGAAGTCAAAAGCGCTAATCGCTTCATAGTTGACAGATCAGCCCTGAACTCTCTGTATTTAGTCTGTAATGATTAAGAGCTGTGACGTGGTGTCTAATACAGGGCTGGTGTTGTCTCTTGAATGTGGTCTCAGTCAGGTGTAGTGTGGGCACGTTCTACAGCGGCGAACAGCACCAGTGTGTCCAGTGTCCCCCCGGCACATACCAGGACACAGAGGGCCAGCTGTCCTGTGAGCCCTGCCCCAGCAACGAAGGCCTGGGTATCGCTGGGGCCAGGAATGTGTCTGAGTGTGGAGGTGAGTGGAGTCTCTCAGTGCACAAACTGTTCTCAATTCAATAAAGGTGAAGGGCCAATTTTAATCTCTTGAAATGTTTTGTCAGAAATGTCACAGGAACTGTGGTTCCTGTGCATAGAAACACTTTAACACTTTTACACAGCAAATTCTCACCAGGAAGTCCACAGATGTCAAATGTTTGTATAAATGTAAGTGAAGTACTGTAAATGTCCTGAATTTCATTAAACCGAGGCCCTAGAGCTGTGATGCTTGTCCCATGCTGTGTTGTCATAGTAGACAAAGAAGGGACCTGATATTCAACATCCGCACATTAATTCAACACAGAGGATTTCATTACAATGAACAGTGAAACACAAACCAGGATTCACACATGGAACCTAAATGGAAGAACATTTAAAGGCAAGAAAAGGAGGCACTTCTTTACCCAAAGGGTGGTGGGAGTGTGGAACAAGCTACCCAGGCAGGGGTATCTGCTGAATAAGATTCTTGAATCAACTGCCATTAACTACTGAGGACCAAACAGGCTGGAGGGACTGAATGGCCTCCTCTCATTTGCAGCCAATCTCATGTTTTCATGAGCTAAGGATCAGTGAAGAAACAAGAGCTTGTCAATTCTGATACATGGCAAACAGTAATGATAACAGTAATATCCAGCCAATATATTTTGCATACACCTCTTCCTTGGTTTTCAGATCACAGCTTAAGCGCAGCTTGAGGGTAGTTCCACAAGTTAATAAATGCTTACATGGGAGTTTTGTTTTCCATAAAAATGTGCACATGGATTTCAAGCTGCCCTTAAAACTCACATTCACCCCTTCTACCCCTGTGGTTGTTTATTTTGGACACAAGCACATGAAAGCTCATGAATAGCACTTCAGATTTCCCAGGATCTATTCTGCAGTCATGGCGATTGTCCTAATACACATTGCAATCATCTGTATTTGCAGATATTTTTCCAGATTCCTCCCTGTCCTTGTGTACCTTCTGTAGCACTCGTTTATTCAAATGGAAGCAAATCTCCTTGTTGAGACAGTTCTGTGTCGCCACACATGATAAATAGCAGGTTGTAATCTCTAGGTTTTCAAAAGCATTATTTCTAATGGCATTGTAATTGCTAGTGGGAGATGTATTTAGAGGAGAAAAGACATTGTAAAGACAAAGTTAATGAAGAACAGTGGCTTTGATCTGGGGCTGTTCTGTCTTGAGCAGTGTGTAATTAGATTTTGGCTTTTCCAACCATGGTCAGAAAGACCTCCTGGGGAACAGCTAAATTGCTATAGGTAATCAATAATTCCAAAGTAAATATCTCTCATGTTGGCCCGAGCCCAATATGCCTCTACAATTTATTCCTCTAAGCCTATAATCAGACTGCATGTAATTTTAAGATTCTAATTACTACCGAGCACCAGCGCACCTAGCTGGGGAATCTTACAAGTCACGTTGTGTTTAACAGCAGTGGGAATACAGATTTTTAACTTTACCCTGTTTCCAAATTTTTACTTTTTTTACTTAAAATTGACGCCAGGTTGCGGTACCACACACTTCAACTTTAGTGCCCCGGATACAGTATGAATTCTCTACAGAACCTTTCAGCGCTGCCTCTTGCGCAAGAGTGGGAACTTTAGAGTAAGGGTCTGACCCGGTCACACAGCCTTGGGGCCGTTGCAGATCGCTCTGTTGAACAAACAAAGGGATGAAATCGGAGAAGTGCGAAAGCAAGTGTTTGCGCCTCTTTATTGCTGGTCTCTCTCTCCGGCCCTGGTTAGGTCAGTGCCCCCCTGGGCATTTCTCAGCCAACGGCTTCCAGCCCTGCAGACCCTGTGCCCTGGGCACGTACCAGCCGGAGCCGGGTCGCGTGCTGTGCTTCTCCTGCGGAGGAGAGCTCCTGACCAAGAATGAGGGCTCCGTCTCCTTCCAGGACTGCGAGACCAAAGGTATGGAGTGAGAACACTGAGCTCCAGCCCTCCAGCTTGCCTGAATCCTCCCTGCAGTCAGCTCCTCTGGGGAAAACTGCCTTTCAGACCTCAGATACATCTGCATGTGCCTTCTGCAGCTCTGAAGACCGTTAAGGATGGATTAACAATTAACATTAATTGGGATTCGATAGCTGTGTCATCTTGTGCAATATGAAGTCCTGTATAATTGGTAGACAATAAGTATTTGTACTTTTTCAAAGATACAAATGATATGTTTCTTTATTATTTTTAGTACTACTATTGTTAACTCATGCAGTAAGAGCAGAACTTCTGTAGGTTTCAGTGACACCTTAAGGAGACTTATAAAGATGGAGTCTTTGGTTCAAGTGATTTGCTGGGACCCAGGTAAAATCCTCATTTTGGCTTATATTATACACAAGCACATGGTGTGTTTACCTTATCTCACACAGATCCCCATATAATGTATACAGTAATTACAGCAGGTCAAGCTTGGACACCTGTTACAGATAACTATACTAGTGCCCTGCTGACATGACCCAGCCACTTTCTCTGTCCCAAATATTTCAGCAACACAGTTCAAAGAAAATAAACTCCTGTGAGTTGTGACAAATGCAGTGATGGTAGGAGTTCAGCTAGATGGAAAATAATGCAAATTTTGTAGGATGGACCAGTCACTCCCTTAAAATATACCAAGTCTGAGCTGCGCCTGTTTCACCTATACTGTGATGCTAGCTAATGAGCTGCTCCTGTTTGTGTTGCAGTGCACTGTTCCCCTGGGCACTACTATAACTCCACCACGCACAGGTGTATCCGCTGTTCTGCAGGGACCTATCAGCCTGAGTTCGGTCAGAACTACTGCATAACCTGCCCTGGAAACACAACCACCGACTTTGATGGGTCCACAAATGTCACACATTGTAAAAGTGAGTTTGCATCAGTTTTCTATGTGCAATAACCTTGGCATGTCAAATATTTGGACTACAAAGCTACCCATACAGTATTTACTTACTTAATGATGCAAACCTTTGACCTCTAGAGATCACAGGTCAAATCTAAAACAAGTCCCGAAGTCCCGAAGAATAGTATGTCTGGGTATAGAGATTGAAGTACTCCACCATTTTATTTCAGTCTCTGAATGTTAAGTTTAAATATAATGGTCTATATTCAATGCTGTGGGCAAAGAGAAGACTTCAGTGTCCAGTAACATCTCATCTGAACTTACTGTGAACATTAAAATTGCTTCTAGTGTCCCAGCAGCTAAACTACAATTATGTAAAAATATTTTCAGTATCAAACAGACAAGACTACAGACGAGACTACAAGAGGTCATGTTTCAGGTTTTCAAAATCCTCAACGGCCTTCATCAAAATGAACAGTGAAACACAAACCTGAGAATACAGGTGGAAACTCTGCAGAAGAGCATTTAAAACCAAGAGCAGGAGGCACGTCTTTGCCCGAAGGATTGTGGGAGTGTGGAACAAGCTAACCAGCCATGTTGTTGAAGTCCTTGGCTTCTTTCACGAAAGATTTCAAGATCGTTTAGCTAATCAAAAACAAAACAAGCTAGATGTGCTAAATTGCCTCTTCTAGTTGTCTAAAGTTTCTTATGTCCAGATGCTCTTATGAGGATTTTTTAGTTCATTAGTGATGATGTACAGCAGTATGTAACTTTGGCCCTTCCTGTGCTTGCAGACCAGCTGTGTGGAGGTGAGCTGGGGGATTACACTGGCTACATTGAATCACCAAACTACCCTGGGGACTACCCAGCTAACGTGGACTGTATCTGGAACATTAACCCTCCCCCGAAAAGACGCATCCTGATAGTGGTGCCAGAGATCTTCCTCCCCATCGAAGATGAGTGCGGAGATGTTCTGGTTATGAGGAAAAGCGGTAGGCCATCCACGTTTACAGCTGACATTTGGTCTTGTGGGTACTGGTTTGGGCTGTCAGGTTTTTACTTGAGCCTCAAAACTGTAACGGTTTAACTGAAACATTAAACACGGATTGTTCTTAACAACTAAGGTCCTGGCACGGGAGCTTCTATTGGTGCGTTGTTATCAAATCAATTTGACATGGTAGGGATTTTGTGAAGGGATATTTTTCAATGAAAAGCTAGGATACCATCTAGCTGGTATATTGCAGAATGTTTGACCAAGCCTAAATCATAGGCTAAACCAAGATGTGAAAAAACATGCAGCGTTTCATTACCACATTCGTGAGAGATACAAGGCCTTCCCTGAAAGTAACAATGAGCATGATACGCCCCCTAGTGGCTCAGTCAGGAAAGGACACTGAGAATGCAGGCTGAGTCTAACAGCACGGATAAGATCACTTTATTGGCCACATACAATTTCTTGCATTAGGAATTCGTCTTTCTGCAGACCCCAGCCTGCTCTCCATGAGACACACAGACAGGGAGAGAAACTGGGGGTCAGAGCACTGGGTCAGCCATTGCACAGCGCCCCTGGAGCAGCTGGGGTGAAGGGCCTTGCACAGGGGCCCAGTGGAGTAGGATTCCTCTGGCAGCCGTGGGAAATGAACCAGCAACCTTCCAACCACAGGCGCAGATCATTAATCACAGAGCCACCGGATGTTGCTCTTTAACCCTGGGTCTTGCAGGCCAAGCAATGACACAGTGCTGTTCCAGTAGGGTTCAGTCATACAGGGCTCACTTGGGTTTTGGCAGCGAATACCGAGACCTGTGAGCTATCGGTGAGAGACGTGCAGTTTGTTTAGCTCTGAGATAATTTAGCAGGATGAAAGTCCTGCAGAACCAGGCTGCTATACTGTGACAAGCAGATTACAGACAAGGCTAGGGAACTATGACAGAGATATGCGCTCCATTGTAACAAGGCAAACAGTTGATCCATCTTTGTTATCATACAGAGACCCATAGAGTCAACCTCTGCATTAGTCTGAGAACAAAACTGGAAAGGAAAAGATTTTAAATATAGCCTGTGAATGGAATTAAGAAAGTATTTCTTTATGAGGTCCTTCTTGGTTGCTGGATCTTCTAGATGTGTTCACATTGAACTGTATTTCCTTTCTTATACTGCGATGGTTTTAGTAGCCTCTACTGAAGACGGACAGATGTCTCTCGCTCTCGGTGTTGCAGGATCTGACCTTTTCATCCTGCGTTGCTCCCTGCTCGGCTCCCACCCCTTCTCCTCCTCCCGCTCGCTGGTCCTCCTGTCACAGCCGGAGTTGGCAAAGTGGGCACCGTTTGCCTCTCCTGCGCCACCAGCCCCCGGACCTCCTGACCTCAGCAGCAGAGACCAGCTGTTCATCCGCAGTCGCCATCCGCCCCCCCGCCCTCAACCACTGGCTTCTCTCTCTCCCATTCTGCCTGTTTCTGATTGAACATCCAATCCCCCACACCTACTGTACATCTCCAGCTTATCCTCACTGTGTCAACTCCCCTCTCTCTTCCCCTCTCCTTCCTTTCACTGTCCCCATAGGAGCATGGCGGCAGAGATTCTTATCACTTCGTACTACTCCTTTGTCTGTTCGCGGGTGGCGACTCACTACCAGTTCTTGTACTACTTCCGGGTCAGAGCACACTACCTCGTGCTACTCCGTCCGGGTCAGTGCAGTATCTTCTGCAGCCTGTCACAGAACTCCAGTCTCAAAGATCTGCAGCGGGCTGGCTCTCCTGTTCTCTGCCTGCATCCCCCGCGGTTTTTGTTCACTCCCTCATGTCCTGTCCCTCTGTTCTGGTGGCCAACTGGTGTGGTGCCAACCCTTGACTCTCCCTCCCCCACTCACCACAATCTTGTACCCCAGCCTCTCAGGTTTTCCAGACTCCTGTTTGTCCTCAGGCTTGTTGCGGTATCTGATGTTTTTCCTATTTGGGGGGATGCATGTGAAACCCGCCCTCATTCATTCAGTTTTTGCAACTTTCAGCAAGTGGTTCCCATTCTACTTAGTGTTACCCTTCTGGGTTGCCATAGCGTCCACTGCCCATCCCAGAGTTGCAGTCTGTTGGCTCTACTGGCCCCTGGTGACTTTTCCAGCCTCTGCATTTTCCTACACACAGTTCCTGTTCACTACAAGCCACAGTGCACTTCCTCCGATCGGTGTTCCTCCGGAACCCCGCACATCAGAATCGGCTCGATCAAACACAGCCCGCGGACCTGTAGCTCCATCACTGAAGACACCTGCAGTGGTCTTTTGAGGTTCCTTTAATCCTTTTCGGGGGCTTGTCATTCCCAGCCTTAAGGTAGAGGTTGTCTTTTCCTCAGCCAGGTGCGTCAACACAAAATATCAAAACATTAAGAAAGTTGTCCCTATAAATTTCATCATCCCTTGGCGTTTATAAGAATTTGACTTTCAAGCTACTGAAATGCAATCGGCAGCAGAGCTCCCAAGACACCAGCCCTTTCCTGTGCCAGAGGCCCAGATGTAGCAAGACACCACCTGGAAGACAAGCTCAGACCCTGCAAGGCTCTGTTCATTAATCTCTAAAGCTTTCAGTAGGATTAAACTCTGTTTTTTCCCTCTTGACAGCTCTGCCTACCTCAATAACAACCTATGAGACCTGTCAGACGTATGAGAGACCTATAGCCTTTACATCGCGGTCTAGGAAGCTGTGGATACAGTTCAAGTCCAACGAGGGCAACAGTGGGAAGGGATTCCAGGTGCCATATGTGACTTACGATGGTAAGATGCCGTTGTCTTTAATTTCGACTGCACACAGCCGGTCTCTGTGTCCCCTCGTTCAGCAAGAGGACTCGGGCTCCTGCACTGGAACATGGCGGATATCTGACAATAGAAGTTCAAGCAGGGAGCCGAGTCAGCTTGCATAGGCTGCTAAGGAACAGGTGAAGGTTTGTTCCCTGCTGAAAGGAAAAGAAAAGAGACACGACATTTCGGCTCACACGTTAAGAAGGCTCCACAGCCGTGGTGTTTCTTTTCATCTCCTTTCAGCAGGGAACAAACCTTCACCTGTTCCTTTGCATATCTGACAGTAGCCCAGCGAGGATTCTCTCCCACTCACCACACAATCTTCAAGTGTCAGGGATTTCACTGCTGTAAGCACTGCGGTGCTCCTCGGTCACAGCGTTTGTATGTGGAGTGCTCACAAGACTCCTTTTCCTCAGAATCAGAGGGAGAACTGGCACAAATATAAGGGAGAGTTTTTTCTGACACTGCAATTGTGTGTGACTGTCACTGGGTTTGAATTTCAAACAGGCTAATTTAAATGGTAATGTAAAATGATTTTTTTTCTAACAGAGGACTACCAGCAGTTAATAGAAGATATTGTCCGGGATGGGAGGCTATATGCTTCTGAGAATCATCAAGAAATATTAAAAGTATGTGCCTCTTTTTTCCTTCTATAAACTGTCACCTGCCTCAAATTAAGAAATACAGTCCGTTGTTTGGAATGTTGCACTATGTAGTACAGAAAAAAGGGAATATTTGTGCGAATGTGTAGTTCTTAGTCCAGGGGGACAGTCACTGGATTCAGGCAAGACTTCAGCTGAATCGACAGGGTCAAATCGACAAGTCTTCTCCATCGTGTTGCCCTTCAGCTGGGAGTTTTGTGCAGCTGTTTATTCCACTGTCCGTAAGAGACAGTATGTCACAGCATTGAAGAATTATTCCAATCACGAATCTGTTGTAGAAACGTTTTATTTTTTCTCTTTTTGTTGTGCAGGACAAAAAACTGATCAAAGCACTTTTTGATGTACTGGCTCACCCACAAAACTACTTCAAATACACAGCGCAGGAGTCAAAGGAAATGTTCCCAAGATCCTTCATTAAGCTGCTCCGGTCAAAAGTGTCCAGATTTCTACGGCCGTACAAATAGCCTCCCAGTCTGTCCTCAGCATTCCTGATAGCCATCACCTACCGCTCCGCCACAGGAGAAAGACAACAGTCTCTCTGCTCCCCTCTCACGCCAAGTCTTCACTATGACTTTAAACCTTTGGAATGTTCTTCAGTATTGCTAAGGAATATTTATATTTTGTGTGCTAGAACTTACAAAAAACCTTATTATGGATGCTTTTTAAAATATTTTTTTATATTTGTTTAATGGTTTTATTTCTTTTTTTTAAACGACCCGGAAGTGCACAGAGTCTAGGCTATAAATCAAGATGTGCACTAAAAGATTCTTCTCTCCCTTTGACAGAAGAAAGAATAGCAAACATTGGGATTCCCACTGGACCTACTCAGTGCAGGAAGAATGAAAAGACCCAGTAGAGAAAAAAATCAATCAAGTACATTTGAAAAATAATTTTAAAAATAGCAAAGCAAAATAAAAACTACCTGCAAGTAACTTATGTTACAAAAGGAATAAATGTCTGTTTCATACAGTAACTAATATTTGGGACTTTAATTGCACTTGAATTTTATATTGTAAGCTGTAGGAAAGAAACATGTGTTCCATTCTCCTGCTGCTTGTGTTGTATAGATATTGACTGCCCTGCTCTTAGCGAATATGGAATTTTAACAACCAGTTAATTCCTTTCATATCAATGAACTCTTGTGAAACGTAGCCTGGGTTCATAGGGGGAAATTCGGAGGAATTCAAAAAGCTTTAACCCTTCAGTCTGAACAAGACAAGTGTGTTCAGATTATGTGTGTGCTCTCTCATCGAGAACTGTACCATTTCAAAGCTGCCAGAGAGAAGAACAATATTTTTGTAAACCTTCTTATATGATGGCACCAAGTGCACATTCTCTTCTGTTTCGATGTGTAAACCATATTCATTACATTAATGCTGTAGCTTTCCTTGCTTTCCTGTTCAATCAGTAATGGTATCGAGAGGGTGTTAGGGCGTACTTCAGATAGTAATGGCAATTCTGTAAATAATAATTTTGATTTAGCATTAATTGCAGGTCTTGAAAACCTTTGTTTCAGAGATCAAAGGTGCATTATTAAAGTTCAAGGGTGATACAGAGATGCAGCATGATTGTATGGGTCACTCACAGTACTCCAGCTTTAGTGACTGATCTGCATTAGAAATATTGCTCACATTGTATGCATATTTAACAGTGCCTGGTTTCCTGATGCTAGGAGCCCGTCACTCACTGCTGCATTGCAGCAATGTGCCCTATTAAAAATTCTTCCTTCCTTTATTGCTGCAAATTGGGAGGAGGGTGTTTCAGAGAAGGGGTGACTCTAGTGTTATTTCTAGTTCTCTTCCCATGTATCAGTTCTGAGAACCCCTCATCGCTAATATGTACGTGTATGTCATTGTTTGCATGGTGTCTTTTCAGGTTGATCAGCTTATGCGATGTCTGTGTTTGTGTGGGCGTGTTGGTGTGTGTGTGTTTGTGAGTCTATGTGTGTGTTTGTACAGTACGTGTCTGTGTGTGGGTGCACGTTTGTGTGTATCTGTGCACGTATCTGCTTGGTATTTGTGTGTTGGTGCGTGTCTGTGTGAGCATGTTTGTGTGTATCTGTGCATGTGTGTATTTGTGTAGGTGTGTCTGTGTGTACGGATGTGTCTGTCTGTGTGTGTGTGTGTGTGTGTGTGGGGCTGTGTTTCTGCATGTCCCTGTGTGTTTCTATGCGTGTTCTGTATGTGTGTTTGAGCGTGTCTATGTGTGTGTGTTTGTGTGTGTGTTTGAGCCTGTCCATGTGTGGGTGGGTTGTGTACATCTGTGTCTCTGTTTGTGCATGTCTGTGTGTTTCTATGCGAGCTCTGTATGTGTGTTTGAGCATTTTCATGTGTGTGTGTTTGAGCATGTTCATGTGTGTGTGTGAGTTTGGCATGTGTCTCTGTCCATGTGTGTGTGTTTCTGTGTGTCTGTGTCTGTTTGTACATGTCTGTGTGTGTCTGTGTGTGTTTGCAGTTTCTTTTTAAAAATGTTTGCTCTTTTCAGTGAAGAAACATGTCAGTTGAGGCCATAGATGAGAGATGAGCTCAGATAAAGAATTCTTCAGAGGTGATTGACGTGATTAAAGAACCCTTATGGAATGAGGTTAAGTTGTTGATTCTGCAATGTTTAAATACTTCAGTCTAGCACTGAAAAGTAAAGACACAACTAGGAGTGCGCCCATTGGCTTTCATTCTCCATCCTCCCTCCCTGTAGAAGGTGCAGAATCTCTTCAGTTTGGGGGTTTGAAATGTGGGAGGGACTACATCACACCCTGATGTCTGATAAGCATGACTGTTATGAGGACAATTTTACAGAAAATAAACAAAAACAGTTCTGAGACTGTAGGCTTTGCTTTTGAGAAAGAACATGTGCAGGGTGACTGTGGTGTTCATTGGGTGAAACTCCTTCTGCTCAAACTGCAGTTTACACAGATCCGGACCAACTTTAAGAGACACCTATCTAGTTACAGTTTTCCACAATTATATTAGTCTCTTCTGCACCCTAGTTTTGTGTTACTGAGTGATGAGAAAGTGTTTCATTTCTGCGATGAGAAAGAGAAGCAGACCCTCTGTTTCATGCAGTCTGCCCACAGGAGGCACTTCGATCTTGACATGTGCTTGTGAGCAGGACAGGACTGTTCTCTTTCCTGCATTTACTAGGAAAACAAGACGACCTGCTATAATATCACAGGTATCAAGTGTTATATCAATATGATAGTCATCTGCTAATGTTTCATGAAACATATAGCAAAATAACGATGCTAACATGCCGTAACAAATAACAAATAAAATCTTAAACTGCTTAGAAAAAGAAACTGCATTAGAAAAGCTGCTATGCAGAAGCTATTTGCTGGTCAGCAGTCCAGCAGTGTCAGGCTGCAGAGACAGAGCTCTGGGGTGCCGAGAGCCGCTGCGCGGTAGTTCAGTCAGCAGGGTCTTCATACTTTCTAGCAGTTCCAGTTCCCTCTTTCGTGCGAAGGGTTCCGGTCCCTGAACCGGCGCCAGGACAGACAGTGACTTTTCACAGCAGGCGTTTTCCTCTGTGTCACAGTGTGCAAGCCACACAGCTACTAAGTGGGAACAACAGGCACTGCACAGAGAGGTGGGGTGGGGGGGTGGCAAGGACAGTGTTCTTCATTCGCCTTCGAGACAAGTGGTGGCTTTGGATTTATAGAACTGTGTTTCAAACTGTGAAACGGACATTGATGAGCAAGGTGTCTCAGTTCTTTATGCTCCTTTAACTGGGAACGTGGATGTTGCCTGTTGCCTGATAAATGACAGTAGTGAGCACTGTGCATGCACATTAGAAAATGTCATTTCTTTTGACTTCCCACTGTACTTCTTTTGTAATGATCTAAGATTGTTCAAAGGTTGTCCTTCCCATCACTGAGGCAGGAGCTCAAAATGGACCTTTCTGTTGCCATTTCAGTATGACTAGGTGAAACTGTCAATAATCAATCAATCAGTTAATTAATCCTTTATTTGATAAATACCCTTAGCAGCAGTTTGCCACAGAATTTATCACAGAGTTGTACAGATGTGTTTAAATATTTTCTTTACCAAGCTAGTGTTTATTAGAAAGTGTTTTTTTAAGACTAGACCTGCATATTTGTTTCATCACGTTTTAGAATATAAGTAATGGGACAAATTGTCCAATATGAAACAGTGATGTCATGTGGCAAAACAGCCGCTGATCTGCTCACAGGAATCAGCTGTCTGAATGTGCAAGTTCAGTGGCGCGATTCACGTGGAAACACGAGCCCTGCCCACAGGTGTGGCTCTCCCAGTGTAGTGGGGTGAAGTGGAAGATTACACTTGTAAGACGCTTTGCTCGTTGGGTTCTGTAAGCACGCTTTGAGAGAGGAGAGGGCTGCTGAGGCACAGGGCAGAAGAAAGAGTTGTCCTCACCTCCTCTCCAGCTGTTGAGCGTCATGTAGCCTTGGTACTGCTTTGGCGAGCTGTAGAATGTGACTCATCGCTCTGCACGACACGCGTCATGGGCTGGTGTTTGTACATGTCTGCAGAATGTCTGCACTTATTCTGGCCTGCTGAGGTGCTGCTGTGTTGTTTCCTGTGAATTGATGTCCAAGACTGTTCTGGGGCGTTGGTCCCCAGCTCGTGTGAGTTCTGACCTCCTGTTCTTTCACAGTCAGTGTTTCATTTGTCTCCCAGACCTGGGTAGGCTCTTTGTTTTTTTTGTTCACTTTTCATCACGAGATTCTAGAAATAATAAATATTTGTGGTTCCTTTGTCTAACATTCCTTTTCCTTGTGTAACTTTCTTACATCGGTATGACACTATACTGTAGTGTCATTTTGACATTTGCCACACTGTGTGTCCTCTATTTTGTATGGTAATATGCAGGAGGGTGAATAGTATTGTATTTACTATACATGTACATGTTTCTCAGGTTGCTTGTAGTATCCTCCCACCTCAATAAGTGTAATTGTCTAAGAGAGAACTAGTGTCCGCATGTAACAAAGTATGAGTTTCCATCACCTGTGTCCTTTTAAACTAACGTTTTAAGTTGGTTGTTACATGAAGTTCATTTATGTTTGCTGTGTTTGTGTCAAGATACTGTGAAACTCAGCCTATGGTTCTTAAATCAGGTCTTTGATCCAGTATTTTAAGTGGTGGTTTGTTGACTGTTGCATATTTGTATTGTGGATTCCAAAAACATTAATAAAGTGCTGCATTGTTAGAACCCTTCTAAACAGACCTCTGAGAGTAATATGGGCAAAAGAGCACACCAGTGGAGCTACTCTTTCGTATGAAGAGAAAAAAGGACTGCGCACATTTTGTAGCTTATAGATCCAGAATTTCATGCTGTTGTTTTTTAAAAGAAATCAGCGTATGATATTTGCAAACATACCTGGGCAGTGTATTCCAGACTACCACCGACCTTGTTCTAAAAAGTGCTTCCTGCTCTCATTCCTACAGTAAATATATTTACTAGTGGCTCCCAGTTTAATTTTCATATTTCCCTTTTTCTGCTGAGCACGGGCACTGTCTCCATTTCTTCACATCCTCATTCACCTTAGGATGGGGACCTCAAATTATATAATAATAATAGCTTACACGTATATACTGTAGCCCTTTTCTGGACACTCCTCTCAAAGCTCTCTGCAGTTAATGGGGATCCCCTCCACCACCCCCAGTGTGCAGCCCCACCTGGATGATGCAACGGCAGCCATAGTGTACCAGTACACTCCCCACACACCAGCTCTCAGTGTGGATGAGAGCAGAGTAATGAAGCCAGTTCAGAGATGGGGATTATTAGGAGGCCATGATTATTCTGCTTGCTCTCCTCTTTCTATGGCAGTGACATCCTCTACCAGGACTGCACACATAATTCTAAGTGAGATTTAACTAGTACTTTATACTGTACATGTCACTATATACCATCACATTTCAGTGTCTTTTTTAACTACTTCAACATGCTCTCTGTAAGACCACACTTATGAGTCAATTCTCTGTCTCATTTGGTGGTTCTTCCAGTTCAGGGTCTCCCAACAGATATTTACTGTGGACATCTTCACCATCTGTATGTATGGCTTTGCACTTGTCTGCAGTAAATTGCCCAGGCGTGAATAAAGTGTGAAGGACTGCATTTCCCTTGCTCCTTCAATACTGCCTCCTCTCCTTTCTCAGTGTCATCTGAGAGAGCTACTCACATGAATAATAAAATCAAGTCTAGAAAGCAGGGGCCCAAACGATTACATAAATTAGGAGACAAAAAGCATATTTTACAATTATTTTAAAAAGCGCAGGGCACAGGTGTACGATGACTTGCAAGCACAGGTGTGAAAAAAGATATTTGAAAGGCAAGAGAGAGATAGAAAGGAATATTGCAATGGAATCTTTTGCAGTATTATGACAGCAGAAGAGCAGTAAAGGATGGAGTCTCAGAGAAGAAGTTGGGAAATAGCGGATTCATTAAATGAGTGTTGAACCCAGGTGTTTACCGTGGAAGAAACTGACATCATGCCCCAGGCTGAGCAAACACAAAGTTCCAAATCAAATGAGATCAGCATTGAAGATCCAGAGATGTTATGGGTGAGATTCTGTACCGGTGCTCTTACCTGAATTCAGAGCAGCGGTCTGCGACTGTGTGCTGAGCTGTGAGTCACATGAGCTCAGCAGGTGAGGCAGACAGGGCAGATAACAGGCCAGGGAGATACTGAGCAAGCATTCCAGGGGAAATCCAGGAGAAAGCCAAAAGACAGGTGAGTTCAGGAGCCAGGAAAACAGGTAGATCAAAGAACCATAAGGAAATCCCCAAGTGAGCCAGAGGGAAAACAAAGCCAAGGTCATAGCCAGTGGTAGACGGTAGAAAGCGGGACAATCGGAGGAAAGTCCAACGATGTGAAATCGAGCCGGAGCAGGAGCAAAGCACAGAGGACGCCAAGAATTAAAAGACAGCTCTCAGTCTCAGCAAAGGAACTGACATGGGCACTGATCTTAAATATCCTGGCATTAATGAGGTAAGTATATGTTAATTGCACACAGGTGGGATGGATCTTTTACCAGATCCCGTAATAACGACTGTAAATCGGGAATTAACAGGTGTAGTAGTAGAGGTTGCGTTTGTTGCCGTGGTAACTCTAGGGTGT